GGATACTACGTCTGATTCAGGCAGCAAAAAGTCTTAAATTGGTTCTGTGGAGTGTGAACCATGAGAACTTTAGAAATTGAGACTGAGATGTAACTTTAGAAATTGAGAAATTCACTGGCCAGGATTTGATGGTTTTACTTTGAGACAAACCTGGACCCCACTTAACATAGTAAATATGCTGAAATTTTCCTGTTTAACAATGTCAGGACATTACTTTAGAAATATATTCATATTTCACCATACAAAAAACATTCAACGCTTGCAGAACGTAAACTTCTCTGTGCATTAAAGCACAACTGCAACTATTTCACGACACACACAAAACATCAGAAGAAAGTTACAAAATAAAAGATGTCTAATATTTAGATTTTACATTCTGTGCCTCCAATTTATACTCTCAGGCTCATGAAGGTGACTTATGATGTGCACTGTTTACATTGGCAATGGGTCAAAACCCAGAAACATATTTAAGGCCAAGTTTTCCAGATATTATCTCAAGTAATTTAAAAGTTCATTATAGAGCACCCACTAGGCCTGCTACAGTAAGGGTCTGTCAGCATTTTTCAGTGGTTATAACTCAGGCATTAAAAGTGGGGGAAATATCCCTGTGGCTTAAAACCTGGTATTCAAAATTTAAAACTGGGAGCAAATTGTTTTAACAAATTAAAAAGTAAAATAGACTGTTATGATGTTATATATGGTCTAAATTTTTAAACGTTGCCGATTTCAACTCAGCATTTTCTAAAACTGCCTTTATTAAGTAGTAGCGGGTATGAAATGAAGGCTGGTAATGTATAAAAAGCTAAGAAAAGGCCAACTCAGATTTATGGTACAGTCTTTAAATCCTTTTTACTATCCAAGTTGCATTGACGTAAATGGGTAACTTCTGGTATAATGGGCCTGAGCACCAGAACCATAAAGAATATATAAATGTTTAAGACATGATTTCAACCAAAGCTTAATTTTGTAACTTGTTTTAAATGCTAAAGTTCATGTCTAGAATAGTGAAGCCATTAGATTTAACAGTCTATATGTGGAAGTATGTGTCTATATATGAATCATAAAATACCAACCTAAATGAATGTACCATGTTTTTCCATTCTCGGTCTTGTAATGATTTACAATCTGCAATCATTGTGTATGGTCTAATGCAGTCATTGCTATGGCCTAGTAGAGCCATTGCTACCAAAACTTGGCAACGTGTTGACTGCATTTCCTAGCATTCCTCCACCTGTGACTGTCCTACCTGACATGGGAGGGAGTTGAAGTTCAAGAACTTCTGGATGGTCACATTTTGCCCTCTCTGCACCATAATAAAGGACAGTTCTTCTGTGGGTCTGTTTGGACATGCCACCCTATACTTCTACTCACTGGAAACCTATACTTCTACTCACTGGAAAATTAGGAATACAAGTCCTGATGCTTCCCTGTCTCACAATCAACTCACATTATTTTGGAAAGTGAGTACCATGGTGCATTAGCAGATTCTGGTTTAATAGTAGTAGTAGTAATAATAACAACAATAATAATAATAATTTTTATTTATTTATTTATTTATATACCGCTCTATCTCCCCAAGGGGTACTCAGGGCGGTTTCCAAGCAACATCACCAAAACATACAGAGTAAACAGCATAACAAAATTAACAAAACAACATAAGCATAAAATTATTACAATTACACGTATATATTAAAAATAATCCTGGCTGTTCAGAGCAATTGAAAGACCGGGCCAAGGCTAGTGCAAACTCAAAATATGAGGGGACCAGGAATTAAGTACCGTGCTATAACAGGCTAACAGGGTCTGGGGCTGCTCATTTCCAGGGTCTGGGACTGCTCATTTCCAGGGTCTATTAGAGGAATGACCAAGTAATAGGTAGGAAGTATAAGGCCGTATTCAACAATGTTTGGGGCTGAGCTAGAACTGGTCATTCTCAAAGGCTTTTGTCTGGACCGACTTGACATTGTGATCAAGACCAGTTGTTTTTCAACTTCAGTTCCCATTCATTGCATTTCACATAGTATAATATAACCTCCTGTACCTGTAGGACGGTGCACTAAGTTTCATTTATCCACATCTCTGTAGGCATTTTCTAGGTCCTCCAGTGCAATGTGGTATTTTTGTGCCAGAAATCCTTGATTTCAATAGGTTCGGTATTAATCACAATTTCCTGTTTCCATGCGAAGTCCATGAACATCTCCTCTGTAGATATAGAGGTTGTACTGATTGTAGATTGTAGCGAAGGAAGATAGATGCTTTTGAGCTGTGGTGTTGGAGGAAATTTCTGAGAGTGCCTTGGACTGGGAGAAGATCCAACCAGTCCATCCTCCAGGAAATAAAGCCCGACTGCTCACTGGAAGGAAGGATACTAGAGACAAAGTTGAAGTACTTTGGCCACATCATGAGGAGACAGCAAAGCCTAGAGAAGACAATTATGCTGGGGAAAGTGGAAGGTAAAAGAAAGAGGGGCTGACCAAGGGCAAGATGGATGAATGGCATCCCTGAAGTGACTGGACTGACCTTGAAGGAGCTGGGGGTGGTGACGGCCGACAGGGAGCTCTGGCGTGGGCTGGTCCATGAGGTCACTAAGAGTCGGAGATGACTGAACGAATGAAGAACAACAACTGATTGTAGTTATTTGCAGTTTAACATATCTACAAAAAGTCTGGGAAACTATCCATCACAGATATGGGGGCTGAGCTGGTTGTATTTTGCTGCAATTCCATGTATCCACACAAGGTCTGGAAACATACCTCCCACAGATAGGATAATTATATGGACATTGATGGTGGAAATTCCTGTTTAACAACATCTAGAGGGCCATCTATACTCCATCCCAGGCCAAAATTTTCTATAGAAGTGCTAGGAAACCAGATTTTTTTTGCATCAAATAAACGTAGCTATCTTTAAGAAGTATATATCTACAAACACATGTATTGTATTCTGTGACAATACAAGCATCCTATGACAATGTGTAGTGTTGAATTCATCATTTCCTAATGTGGCAAAAACAAATTAGCACCCTCAATTAATTGTACCTCACACATGCTTCACTTCTTTTGGAGCTCTGCTGTGCTCAGCATAGGTTTTCAATACCCTTGTCAACACAACAATCACAAACAAAAAAATAATCTTACCCTCTTCAATAGTATTATACTATGAGAGTGAAATTGCTGTCTTTGAAGTATAATCAAGTTCAGCATAGTAAAGAAAACTAATACTAAAAATTTGAATGTGGTTTCTCAGAAGCTCTGCACTATTAATTTGATATTATTAAATGCAGATTTCTGTGGGAGATCAAGAATGTGTGATCCAACTTAGACAATACTTTTCCTTCAGTGCACAGTTCCAGATTACTGGATGTCTAAACAAGGAATGTTCTCTGCTTATTTGTAAAACTATAGTCACTTCATAGAGTCAGCATGGTGTGATGTTTTGAACATTGGGCTAGGGTTCTGGAGATCAGAGTTCACATACCTACTTAATCATGGAAACCTACTTGAAGTTAACCTCTCTCAGTCTCAGAAGACATTAAAGGCTTCTGAACAAATCTTTCCAAGAAAACCCTATGTTGTGTTTCCCTTAGGATCACCATAAACCGGAAATAACTTGAAGTCACACAATAGCAAGAAATCAATTCATGGCAGGACAGTCCTACCATTAATTAGAGTTATCCTAACATTTTAGGGAGTTATCTTGGTATTGGCATTGGCAGTCTTCAAGCAGAATCCAACTTAGAGGCCAGTAAACTTCTGTGCATTGACTGGAAAGGAGGAGTCATCTAGCTGTTCACCACAAGGGGACAAAATGTCTTGACTCAGCTCTGATTCATTGCTTTGATATCAATTTCAGTAAAAAGGTGAGGGAAGTAATGTATCCCTTTTGACTCTTTTGACTTTGCTGCAGTATGTGTACAATCAAAGTCGCCTCAGATCTTACATGTTGATATAAATGATTTCAGAGATAAACACTACTGTATAAACAAAACTGATGGTGAAGGTGAAGGTGCTTCGTGATTCTCTTACAATGAAAGTTCCCGTGAGTTCAGTCATGGGAAGGTGCGTGCATCTTTACAAAACTGCATTTTGAAATATGATGATAAATATGTTGGGTTATGTGCAATATTTGGGAGATATGACCAGAAACAATTCCATCTCCTGCGTGCCTTATTCATAATAACTATACATCTTGAGTATCTCTTAACTGTGATGGGACCAGAACTGTTTCGGAGTTTGGGTTACTTTGGTTTTTGGAATGTCTGTATTTACATATATCTAATGCGATATCTTGGAGATGGGATCCAAGTCTAAACACAAAATTCATTTATGTTTCATATACATCTTGTATACATTTTCTGCAATATTTTTAAATAATTTTGTCCATGAAATGAAGTTTGTGGTTCACCCATTGGTGTGTTCAATCAACTGGTTGTTCTTAATCTCATTACCTGCATACCTTGAGGCTGAAATATGCTGGCACTTCTTGTAGTCTTTTACGTTTGTTTTTAGCCAACATGCATTTAAGCAGTTTTTACTGTTTGCAAATTTTATCCATTTGTGTGTTCAATCAACTTGATGTTCTTAATCTCATTGCCTGTATAACTTGTATGCTACAGTGCAATAAGGGTCTCTGGACCATAATAAATTTATATCTCTCTCTCTCTCTAAGTTTGTGGACACTGAACCCTTAGAAAGCAAAGGTGTCCCTATTTTAGCTACCCAAGGTGGACAATTTTGGATTTTGTAGTATTTCAAATTTTGGAATTCTGGATAAGGGATACTCAACCTATACTAGAATACCTTGTGTGTGGCTTATTCACAGTAATTATTATATTAGAATGTCTTGTCTAGTTATTGAACTAGATAGTATAATCAACTGCTTAAAATAAGAGTTGTATTATTTTAGAACACTACTAGACAAATATTTATTTAAACTTTTTTTACCACCTCCCACAAAATTGCTACCTTCAGTTAACTCTCTTTTTGTATGTGTTTTGACAGATTATTTCTTGACTCTTGATGAGCCTATGAACAATATCACCACTACGCTAGGTCAGACAGCAGAACTACACTGTAAGGTATCTGGAAATCCTCTTCCAACTGTCCGTTGGCTGAAAAATGATGCTCCTGTCGTACAAGAACCCAGAAGGATATCTTTCCGTGCCACAAGCTATGGGTCCCGATTGCGAATACGAAATCTTGATACAACAGACACTGGTTACTTTCAATGCGTGGCAACAAGTGGCAGGAAAACCGTTTCTACAACTGGGGTCCTCTTTGTGAAATTTGGTAAGCCTTTGTTGAGAAAGCTGCTGCTTCTGAGAAATATTAGCTCAAATGATGATCTTACTGTTATTGATAAAGCAGAGTAGCACATGTGATGACTCACTAACACAGCCTGTAGCACACATGTTCAGACTTACAAATAAGTTGAATTTCCTATTTTATTTAGTTATATATTTTTTGGTAACATCTCATAGATGAAAATATTTTAATACTATCCATTATATTAAAGAATTGTGGAAAATTTGTGTTTCATTGTTCACATATTTTTTTTAACTTTTTACTTGAGAAAAATGGACTCTATAAATATTGATAACATGCTATGCAATAATAAATTTGACTCTTTTATTAGAATCTTGCAACAGTATAATGAGATACAACATCTAGCAAGTGTGGGTGGGATCTAAAAAAATTAAAATTCTTAAAATTCTTCTTAAAATTATTTCTCCCCTGCCCCTCTTTTATTTCCAGGCCCTCCTCCAACAGCCAGTCCAGGAACATCGTGAGTTCTTTCATACTTACTATGTTAATTATGCACTTATTGTGAAAATTATTCTGCTGTTGACTATAGGTGTTCAATCATTACTATATTGATGTGATCATTGTGTTATTTATGTTGATACACCATTGTCTTTATATTTATGAGTTTTTTAATCAGTGTAGCTTCAGTTCAGGAATTCTGGTTTGTTGCTTCCAAATAGATAGGAATTGGAGGTCAACAACAACACTTGTAAAGTATTTGATTTTAAGAAATAGAAAATGATCTTTAATAACTATGTATTGTTCTTTACTGCATAACTATATTTTCACAAATTTTCTTAATATATCAGTTAGGATTGCATACAGAATTTGTCAGTTTAAGAGCTGACAAACCAACTAGTTGCTGGTGGTAGAACAGACTTGGCAGAAATGAGTAGGCAAATGATGACTAGTTATGCATGATGGACCTGAATTCTCCATGATTCGAATTTGAGTGGGAAGGCAGTCATTTTGTCAGCTTACGGAACATTTAGGCTGGTAAATACAATTGATATAAGTAGTTTCAATCCAAGAAAGAAAGTGATATTTGTGCCACCAGAAACTTGTAAAATACACTTTGATTGATATACTCAAACTAATTCTAGGTTAGTAATTCTGTCTGGGAAATTTAAAGAACAGTTCTTTGTATTTACAGAAGAAATTGGCTAATTGTGGGATTTGTATATTAGAAGAATTAATGGGTCCAGAGCAAGATTTTTGTCATTTTCATTAATGCAGTCAAGATATCATTTACACTTGATTATTGTATGTCAGTATTTACTATTAGAGCACCTTTGCGATTTTGTATATGTCTGTCAGTCCTAGTGTATTGCAAAAATTTAGGAAGTGTAGTTTATAAAGCTTTGTTGGAAGGCACTACTTTCGCCATTAGAAATAAGTGGAACAAAGGATTAGAGCAGCGCTTTCCAAACTTTCCATGTTGGTGACACGCTTTTTAGATATGCATCCTTTTGCGACATGGTAATTCGGTTTTACTAGAAAAGCAGAAGTTAAACAAAATCTTTATAAGAGTTTCATACACTATAGATGTATTGTAAAAAATATATTATACATATAATATACATAATGTAGAAGTTTCATATAATCTTTACTGTATAAACGAAACTTGGAATCTTTTCCTTTACATTTCTTATGTACTACAATTGATTCTTGTGCAGTTTCCTCTGTAGCTGCTCCCATGTGGTTCATCACAAACATCACTGTCAACATTTTTTTCTTTATTAGAAACTTATCCATTGTATTGGTTTACTACCACAACCCAATCAAATTGTGCAAATTATAAAAGTTACTACAATACTTATACCTGAACAGCACCAGCACTTTACTTCTGTAAGGATTAAACCTCTCTGGATGTTTTTAAATGGAGGCTTGATGACTATCTGTTGGGAGTGATTTGACTGTGCAATCCTGCCTGGCTGATGGGGGTTGGACCAGATACCCTTTGGGAATCCCTTCCAACTCTAGTGAAGCATCAACTGCCTGGGAGTCTAGTGGAGTCTGGAGGTTTTTGAATCGAGGCTGGATGGCTGTCTGTTGAGAGGGCTTTGACTGTGTTTTTCGCCCAGGCAGCCTTGGTTTGTGAGGGCAGGGGGGCATTTTTCATGCGACACACCTGTGAACTTCTGGTAATACACTAGTGTGTCCTGACACACAGTTTGGAAAACTCTGGATTGGAGTATCTTGGTGATTTCTGATCTAAAGAAAAATAGTTGAATTGTGTCCTACTTCTGTGTATAGATGTTCTTCTCTGTATTAGGGTGTTACCTCCTGGAAATACGCTTGCACAGATGTATTCATGCAGATATTGGAACCAAGGCATTTATATTAATAACTAGGTTAGGTAGTAGGTACTTGGTGATGCCCAGGTTACGAATTTTGCAAGGCCTTAGAAGTAGTCATTGTTTGGTTTAGGATTTTATTAATGGTCCCATTAGAAAATGTATTAGGATGTGGGTAAACTACAATTTCCCACACACGGTCATGATTTGTTTCTGTGCCAATTTTGGTCCAGATTCATTGTCAGTGAAGTTTATAATGCTCTTTGATTATGGGTGAACTATATCCCCCATCATCTTGTCATTGTTATCCCCCCAAGCACAACAGTAGCTGAAGTTAGTCATGATGGGTATGTGTGCCATGTTTATCCCATTGTCGATGAGGTTCACAGTGATCTTTGGATGTCAGTGGACTTTAACTCCTATCATCCTGGTCATGATGAATATGCATGCCAGGTTTGGTTCAGATCCATCATCGGTGAGGTTCATAACCCTTTCTGGATGCCTGTGGACTGCAACTTCCATCATACTGGGTCAGTCCCGCACAACTTGCTCCAGTATTTTCTGTTGGCCATGGGGGGTGGGGGGGCGGGGGCGGGGCTGTATGCCAAGTTTGGTCCAGATCCAGTGGACGTCACAGGGCTTTCTGAATATGGGCAGACTGCAACTCCCATTATGCTGGTCACAGGGCTCTTTGGATGTGGAAGCACATACATACAAACATATTCACTTTTACTATATAGATAGAAGATAGATGTTAACTGAATTAGGTCTTTAAAAAAACCAGAATGTAAAATATGGTTTTTCTCAGCAAAATTGAAAGTAGCTTTATGAGTATGAGATGCTTCATAGCATTCTTGTTTGCTTCATTATTTCTACCACCACTATGTAGTAGAATCATAGAGTTTGAAGAGACCCCCAAAGGCCATCCAGTCCAACAACAATAGGAAAAAAACAGAAAAGGAAAAGGAAATCTGCTGTGCTTTTCTGATTGGGGATCAGTTGTTTGTTGACTGGTCTCTGATTGCTCCTTAGATTTCTGTACTTCTTAACTTGCTGACCTCTGTTTTTGATCTTTGGCTTTTCTTGTTCTCCAGTATCTGTTTTACCTGGAGGTCAGTTAGCAATTTCTGGGCTGCTTTTTACCTTACGGCTTTCCTCCACACCATCCTGCCAACTCTTCCTTGCATTTTCAGGGCTTTTCCCATCCCCGTCTGGGAACAGTCCTATGTTTGTAATTTGAACCCCAAAGGGAAGAAGTAGTTTGTAAGTTTGCAGATTGTATGTATGTGAGTAATTTATTGTCTTTTGACCTCTCAGATGCCCCAAGGCAATATAGAACAAATTAAAAACCTTATTTAAAACATTAAAGAGATGAACAGAAAAAATATTTTTCTAAAAGACTAAAAATTTCTTAAAACATAGTTAAAATACAGAGTTAAAGCTGCCAGAACCAGAAGGGTGTAATTTAAACATTTTTTTTTCAGAATAGATTTAAAATGGTTTTGAACATTATATAGAATAGTTTTACAAGAGGTTCCCCACTTTCATGACAAGGGTTCTTTCAGGTGGAAAAAAATAGATTTTTTTTCTATTTGTGTTTTTTCCACTTTTCTGGGTGTTTTGTGTTCCTAACCACTTTTATATGTTATATATATATGTATAAATATTGTATATATGTGTGTATTTGTTTGCAATTTTACCTTAACTCTTTGCAGTGGGAGGGGCTACAAACCATGTGATCAGAACTGGGCTTATTGAGGACTCAGACTCCATTTTAGAACAGTACAGTTTAGACTTCAGTAGGAGCAGTATGCTGTATAGAAGCCATTGGACTCCATTGAACTTTCAGTCTAAACAGAAACTCTATTAGACTCTCAGAACAGAGAGATGGTTTGGACTTGGAACTACTGATTCCAAGAATGATGCCCTCTGTTCCCCACAAAGAGAAACTACTTCAAATCCTACCTGTAACTTGATTGATAAGCAAATTACCTGTGTGCTGAATAAATGAAGTTTGTGAGTAAACCAACTATGTTAATTTTAATGAAATCTACTTATTTTTGTCTCTTGAGAGCATGATTTAAAGGCAAATATATTTTAATGGAGAGTAGATGTTTTTGGGCAACTAAAAGGAACAATTCTGAAACTCTGCTATATAATGCAAATGCTGGTGAATGCCATTTTCCAAAAGGTTATGACTCTAACAGATCATGCTTCTACTAAGAGGTTATGGCATCATTTTCAAAAGGTTATGACTTCTAACAAGGTCATCCATTTCCAAAGATTATAAAATTTACAAAAAGGTTACGAAAATTTCCATTTTCCAAAAACTCATAATTCAGTTGAAAGCAGATAATGTGTATTATCTGTTTTGATAATCTGCATTATATAGCAGTGTGGAAGGGGCCTAGGACTTCCAGTACAAGTCAGTGAGTCACACTGAAGGACCTAGAGCAAGGGTCCTCAAACTTTTTAAACAGAGGGCCAGGACACAGTTCCTCAAACTGTTGGAGGGCCGGATTATAATTTTTTTAATAGCATGAATGAATTCCTATGCACACTGCACATATCTTACTTGTAGTGCAAAAAACACATAAGAACAATACAATAATTAAAATGAAGAACAATTTTAACAAATATAAACTTATTAGTATTTCAATGGGAAGTGTGGGCCTGCTTTTGGCTGATGAGATAGGGTTGTTGTTGTTGTTGTTGTTGTTGTTGTGTGCTTTCAAGTTGTTTCAGAGTGAGGGCCAGGTAAATGACCTTTGAGGGCCGTATCTGGCCCTCAGGCCTTAATTTGAGGACACCTGACCTAGAGGTTCCTATAGATTAAATATTACTCAAAGAGGTGAATAATCAAATATTCAAAATTAAACCTTGCAAATGTGGAAGATTGACTGAGGTTGTCTGCTGAAGCTCAGCAAGAATGGAGCTAGTCAGACTTCCCTTGGGAGGGAGTTCCACAATTGCAGTGCTGCTACAGGAAAAGTGATGTCTTCTGTATTCACCAGTCGAGTCTCTTGAGCTGGTGGGGCATGTGACACAATCTAAATTTTTTGGCAGGAGAAGTGGCAAACCTCTTTCTACTTGCCATGCTTCTATTCAGTGTGTAGCCAATCCAGGTGAAGCTGCTGGGGCTCTGCAAAGTATTACATTGGTAGCAGTTAATGTAATACTTGAT